TGGTAGTGGGACAGGAGGAAGGTAAGAGGAAACAAAGGAAAGAACTAGGAGGCAAAATACATTTATAGAGGTATAAACAGGCATGTACATATGTACATTTATTAATATATAACAATAGAGATATAGGTCTATGTACATATTATAAGCTTAGTACTAAGGTAGCAAATGGACATTGGGGCTTTACTCATGTCTTTCCTCAATGCAAAAACACTTTGTTCTAATAACCTGGCATTCTCTGATGCTCACCTTCCTGACACAGTCACTGAAGACAAAATGGGTACATAAACGAATGTGTTGAAGAAAGCTGATGGTGCCCGGCTATTATAAGATATAGCGTCTGGGGTCCTAAAGACTTGAAGTTAAACAAGCGGCCATCTAGTAGAGAAGCAACAAAGCCCAAATGAAAGAAGCACACCAACCTGTGCCATCATGAGTTGTTGATGGGATCAGATATCAGAAGACCCAAAACAAACAACCATTTTGATGTGAATGAGAGGGGTCAGAATGGAGACCCAAAGCCCATCTGTAGACAATTGGATATCCCCTTGCAGAAGGGTCACAAGGAAGGGACGAGTCAGCAAGTGTGCAGTATAGCATTGATGAAACACAACTTTCCTCTAGGTTTTTAATGCTTCCCCGCTTGCCCCTGCAACATCATGACCCCAGTGCTATCTTACAAATCTGGCTAGACCAGAGCATGTACACTGGTACAGATAAGAGCTTTTGACACACAGAATCCAGAACAGATAAACCCCTCAGGACCAATAACGAAAGTAGTGATACCATGAGGGTAGGGGAAAGGTGGGGGAGAAGGTGTAGCTAGGGGGAATGGATCGTAATGATCGACATACCCCCCTGAGATGGTTTGTTGTGCCAGCCTGGCCGATAAACACAAGTGGGATTAACTGAAAGGCAGAGAGATAAATGGCTTGGTGAGCCTCGTCTTTCTTGTCTCTCGCTCTTTGATCATCGGACCAGTGTGCGGCTGCCTTGCTTGTTCTGTGCCTCAATTTAAAGGCTACACTACCTGTGGGATGCCTAGCCTGTGGACTGTGTCACTG